AAACCCTAAACCCTGAACCCCTCTTAGGGGAATCCACGAAACACCGGCTCCAGGAGGCCCGTCTCGAAGTCCAGGCTCCGGATGGCATTGTTCAGGGAGTCCTTGTGAGGTTTAGGTTTAAGGCGTTTAGGGTTTAGGGCTTAGGGTTTAGGGTTTAGGGTTTAGGCGTTTAGGGTTTAGGGGTCAAGGCTTCGGGGATTCCGTGAGGGTTAGGGTTTACGGGCTTGGAGAACTTGCGGCAACGTTCGGGATCCTTTCATTGGGGAAGCGCAGGGGCGGGGGAGGTGGTAGGGCGCCTCGGTGTTCGGGCCCTAAACCCTGAACCCTAAACCCTAAACTCTAAAGGCTTCGGGTGGTTATGGCGTTGCGACCTTTAGCTCTTTGGGTTTCGGGGCTTTTCGGGCTCCAAGCCCAAACCCTCAACCGAAGATCCCAATGTATGCGCCATGACAATGTTAGCACCGCTTTGGGACATATTCTACTATACTAATGTTATCGGGACTATGACCCTCAGGGCTTGTCATTACGAACCACTCGGATCCCTGAATATTAACCACGAAGATGCTTCCGAGGCACTGCGATCAGTAGACGCTGGTTTGCCTGCGAACTTTCTTTATACTTTCTTAATACTACCTGCAGGGTCCAAAGGACCCGATCATGAGGTGTTTGTGGTAATGTAGCTTATGACTGGTATTCGGCTAAACCCTAAACCCTAAACCCTAAACCCTAAACCCGCCTTTTACTGAGCCTTTGAGCCTTCAAGTAACCCCCTTCAACCTCGCACCCTGGCCCCTAGACCCTGATTAAAGGGCTGCAGCATTAGGGTTTAGGGTTTAGGGTTTAGGGTTTAGGGTTTAGGGTTTAGAGTTTAGGGTTTAGGGTTTAGGGGACTCGGGTTCTTGAGTTGTTGTACATCACCTCACCAGACAGGGACTACGATAGGATACGATTGCTACCTCAAGCGCTAAACCCTGCTTCAGAGCCCTGTAAAAAACCTCTCCTCAGGCACGGGCGCTGCGGAAACTCTAATCCCTAAACGCTCGGAACGGAACGCTGGGTATAGGCGTTGCTGGCGGATGGCTGTGTCTTCACCTTGGGCTCTTCCTGCTGCCTGTGCCGCACGTGTTGTAACATTTTGGGGTTTAGGGGGGATGGTTTATGCGGGCTCAATTCAATCGGGCGGGTGGGGGAGTGCATGAGAGCGAGATGACGCTTGAGGGGTTCAGGGTTTAGGCTAGGCAAGACAAGATTTCTAAACGCTGGGCCCTGAAAGCCCTTCTTGGATGGTCGGGGGACTTGGTAAGTAAGCAACAGGAAGACTCATAAGTAGCCTGATCCTAATTGGGGCTATGGTACTTATACATCTATCAAATAACTAGTTACTAAGTCCCCCGACCCCTTTAAGACAATTAGGACAATTCATCCGATTGCGTCAACCCTTCCGGTTTAGGGTTTAGGGTCCAGGCTTTAGGGTTTCGGGTTCTCTAAGATGCCGAACCCCGGCAATACAGAAGCCGGAATACTTAGGCGTCCTCACCAATAATTGGGCTAGGATTTCGGGGTTTCCAAAACAGTACGTATATTCGCAAACCATGAGCACGCTAACTTTCAGGCAACTATATGAGGGTTAAGGCCCTCTACGCTGGATGACTCGAAAACCTCAATTTGGGTAGTTCTCTAAACTAGGGTCCCTTTGGGGGTCCTTGTTAAGAGGGTGCCGTACTCCCTAAACCCTAAACCCTAAACCCTAAACCCTAAACCCTAAACTATTTTGGGGATCCAAGAAGGGGACCTTCATTTACCCATTTACAGAATGGGGGGAGGCTCGGGGCCTGAGGGCTTGGGGTTTTGGGGTTTAGGGTTTAGGGTTTAGGGTTTGGGGTGTAGGGGTTTAGGATTTAGGGTTTAGGGTTTAGGGTTTAGGGTTTAGGCTGTAGGGGTTTAGGGTTTAGGGTTCAGGGTTTTGGGTGTAGGGGTTTAGGGTGTAAGGGTGTAGGGGTTTAGGGGTTTAGGTCCAAAACCTACCAAGGCACGGCGGAAGAGATCCACCTTCCTTTCCAAAGACTTTGGAGACTGCGACACTGCCTCAGAAGTGGTTTAGGGGTTTAGGGTTTAGGGTTTAGGGTTTAGGTTTAAGGTGGTTTGACCACGGCTTAAGGTTTAGGGTTCCGGGTCGCTTTGACTGTCTTGACCATGTATGACTATGCAACCCTTTGTCCTAATTCAAATCACCCAACCTGTAACCTGACAACCCCAAGTCACAGCAACTCAAACCTGTCTTAGGACTGCTTAGAGGGTTTAGGGTTTAGGGTTTAGGGGAGCTTCACTCCAATTCCTAAACCCTAAACCCTAAACCCTAAACCCTAAACCCGAAACCCTAAACCTTCCAAGCGGCTCGCAGGAAGACCTTCATGCGGAGATTGTGGTAGTCATGCGTAAGTCGATTGGGTGGAAGCCCGGGATTGTCGTCGTCTGTGGGACTACCTTAGTAGCCCAGCTCATAAGCCAAAGCAGAAAATTTCGGGTTTAGGGTTTAGGGTTTTTGGCTTTAAGTGAGAAATATAAATCTGCAAGCTCAAACTTGACACACTCGCAGCTGTGCTACAGGATAAGAAGGAGTTGAAGGACTTTCTGCCTGCCTCCACAAGTTCCGCAGAGTCGACATCCGAAATTTCATCCAGCGGCGCACACGAGCCGGTTGTAGAGCGGGTGTAAGTTCGCATATTGAACTTTGATTTTGGCTCTTCCTCGATCTTGGCTGCATCGCCAGGTTCCCATTCCTGGATTTAAGGTTTAGGTTCAGGGTTCATGGTTCAGGGTTCAGGGTTCAGGGTTTAGGGTTTAGGGTTTAGGGTCTCTGGCAGGCCGTGTTACAGTTAAAGTTTTGTTCCTTCTCAAAACTAACCTATGCTCAAACTGAATATGTGTTCGAGAATGGCCCGTCGATTCCCTAAACCCTTCGCCCTAAACCGTTTAAACCCTGACCCCTAAACCCTACACCCTCAACCCTGAACCCTTAACTTAGCCTCAAAACGAGAAGTTCTAGACCCTAGAGCTAAACCGGTACACCTTAAACAACTTATGCTTAACCTGTAAAAAAAAACGTAAGCGCCAAACCCCTAAACCCTTTAAACCCTGAACCCTAAACCCTAAACCCTAGACCCTAACCCTAAACCCTAGACCCTAAACCCTCGACCCTACTGACCCTAAACCCTAAACCCTAGACCCCAGTGACCCTAAATCCTAAACCCTAGAGCCTAAACCCTAATCCCTTGAAGCCCTAGACCCTAGACCCTAAACCCTAAACCCCAAACCCTAAACCCAAGATCCTCCAAGCTTGGTTCCTCGCCTAGGCTCTGGGTTGCAGAGCTCTTCCTCTGGAAGCTCGGGGGGTTGGTAGCTCGCCACGTTGTGGAGCATGTCCATGCCAATGCACCTTGCTTTTCAGCTTCCTATATTATAGGGTTTAGGGTTTAGGGTCTAGGGTTTAGGGTTTAGGGTTTAGGGTTGAGGGTTTAGGGTTTTATGACAATGTAAGGGCCTCAATAATTCCCAATACTATTTGGAGGGTTCCTTAATTATGAGTATAGTATATGGGCCCCAAAACTCTATTCTAATTATTAAAGCCCCTATTTTGATGGAACTACAGGTTAACTTGATGGCGTGAGCATACTATCAACAAAGGGCCACAGGCTCCCTACTCGATGACTAAACGATCAGGTACCAATGCACCTTACGTTCAAGCTTCCGAACGAAACTACAGGTTAAGCTTTCGGGCCTATATAAAGAAATATACGCTAAACCCTAAACCCTAAACCCTAGACTCTAAACCCTAAACCCTGTACCCTAAACCCTATACCCTGAACCCTATACCCTAAAGCCTAAACCGTCTCGACTGCTAAGGGACTCTGGCTTGCTGGGTTCTGGCAGGTTTGCCAGCGCAGCAAAGAAGTCAGCCGGTCTCAGCGTGCCTTCCTTCATCTTCACACCCGGTCTGAGCCAAACGCGGCTGCAGGGTCAGGGGTTTAGGGGTTTAGGGTTTACGGTGCTGGGTCTCTTTCTCAACAGCCTCAAACTTGGCAAGGCTTGGGACTGGAGGTGTGTCAGTTTAGCTTTCAAGGTTTAAGGTTTAGGGGTTACAAACTCTGCAAGCTCAATGACTCTCAATCAAGCTGCAAGAACGTGTGGAAAACGAACCTTCAAATAGTTGCCGGCCCAACTCGGGCAGACCACATTCTTCAACGGCAGCAATAAAAACCACGCAGCAGCAGCAGCAGCAGCAGCAGCAGCAGCAGCAGCAGTAGCAGCAGCAACGCCAACAATAGCGTGAACGACAACCGCCGCCGCCATCGCCAGCAGTGGTCGTGGTAGTACTGGTAGTCATCGTCGTGGCGG